AGGGTATCCTGGCCTTCCTCAGCCTGCAGCGGGCGGGCACCGGGGGCCCGGGCAGCCAACCCCAGGGCCCGGACGCCTCCGCGGAGGGCCTCAACCCATACGGCCTGGTCGCCCCCCGCTTCCAGCGCAAGTTCAAGGCCAAACAGGTGCCAGAGGGCTGGGTGGTGGGAATGGCCACAGCGTTTACCTGGCCACCTCGGCCCCTGGACCTCCACCGAGCCTTCCCCTGCAAAGCCATGTGCTCACTCATTCCTCTCCCCCCGCGTCCCTGAGACAGTGCGCTGGTCCCCTCCCAGAGGAGACGGGGGCATGGTCCCACTGCCCACGTCCACCTCCGGGCCTGGCTCAGCTCATAGGTGATGAGTGGAGAGAGGGCGCACTCTGGGGGCCCACAGTGGGCACTGCCCCTGCCCTACCTCAGCTGGTGGGGGCAGCCAGGGCGCCACACGGACGTTGGATGCCCCTCACCAATGTGGCCCCACAGCTCACCCCCCGGATCCTGGAAGCCCACCAGAACGTGGCCCAGCTTCCCCTGTCCGAGGCCCAGCTGCGCTTCATCCAGGCCTGGCAGTCCCTGCCTGACTTTGGTATCTCCTACTTCATCGTCAAGTAAGAGCCCCAGCCGGTCCTCTCCACCCTCACCCTGAACCTCCCTTCCTGGTCTCTGTGGGCAGAGCTGACTGAGGGCACCCCTGGGCCCCACCCATCCTGCACCCCCACAGCAAGCACAGAGAGAGAGCAGGCCAGGAGAACAGGAGACCAGCTCCGTCCCAGCTCTGCCGCGGACCCTTCCCTCTCCCGACCGCTGGGAGCTGGTCTGAGGGACGGAGCCAGCGTGGCTGCTGGGACAGGGAGTGCCCCTGCCCATTTCCAAGCCTGCGAAGATATGCTTGAGGCAACAGATGATATAAAAAAGTTACTTATGTAAATAAATATTTTTTATTGATTTCAGAGAGGAAGGGAGGAGAGAGAGAAACATCAATGATGAGAGAAAATCATTGATCGGCTGCCTCCTGCACGCCTCCTACTGGGTATATGCCCTGACTTCCTGGTTCATGGTTTGAAGCTCAACCACTGAGCCACGCCAGCCGGGCAAAAAGTTATTTAAAGGCATAGTATTGCTGACGCTGCTAAATGTTATTATAATTATCACATTGGTTAACTCCCACTTTCCAGATGAGGAACTTGAGGTCCAGAGAACCTAAATGACTTCCTTGCAAACCCACTGCTGAGCACTGCACCAGGCTGTCTGGGCAGGCGCCGGGCCGCGGGGTGGGGCCCTTGCTCACATCTGTCCTCCTGGGGACCAGGTTCAAGGGCAGCAGGAAAGATGAGATCCTGGGCATTGCCAACAACCGACTGATCCGCATCGACCTGGCCGTGGGCGACGTGGTCAAGACCTGGCGCTTCAGCAACATGCGCCAGTGGAATGTCAACTGGGACATCCGGCAGGTGGGCCCGCGTGAGGGGGGGCGGGGGGGCCGGGCCAGACCCAGCAGGGCAGGGCCGGGGTGCTCCCTATCCCACCCCGCCAGCCCCTCCGACTGCCCGCCCTGCAGGTGGCCATCGAGTTTGACGAACACATCAACGTGGCTTTCAGCTGCGTGTCTGCCAGCTGCCGCATTGTGCACGAGTACATAGGGGGCTACATTTTCCTGTCAACGCGGGAGCGGGCCCGAGGGGAGGAGCTGGACGAGGACCTCTTCCTGCAGCTCACAGGCGGCCACGAGGCCTTCTGAGGCCCATCTTACTGCCCTGTACCACTCACCACCGCCACGGCCACTCCTAAGCCCACACTCGCTGGGACTCACTGCCCACACCCTCTCCACGCACCAAGCTGGGCACATCCGCACTGTCACTGGCTTTGTGCAGACCAGGGACCCGGCTGGGCCAGACTCTGCATCCCCCCGGCCGGGGAGGGCGGTCCTGAGCTCTGCAGCACCACCTTCCCTCGTCTGAGTGGCCGGGAGCAGCACCCCTGGCCTAGTTGTAGTCCCTGAGCCCACAGGAAGGCTAGCTGCAGCCACAGGATAATAACTGATGGTTTCAAACTGGAGGATTTTTAAAAATCTTTTTACATTTCCTTTTTTAATAAATATTTTATTGTTGGCTCATCCTTCTTCCTCTGGAGCTGTGCTGGGGGCCACTCTGACACTCTGTCTCTTCATCACCAGCCAAGGAGAGGGGTTTTCCTGAGATCGAGAGGACTTGGTTAGAGAAAGGGAGACCTAAGTCAGCCTGGGGTTGGCAGAGGACACAGGCTTCAGACACAAAGAACAGGGTGGTGTGGAGGTTCTCACGGGTAGGCCGTAGCTGCAGGGCCTCCTTGAAGTACTTGGGAAGCAGGAAGCCATCAGCATTTCCGGGAGTCAGGATCACCCCGTTCGCAGAGCGGAAGAAGGGGATTCCATCTGCAGACAGAGCCAGAGCTGTGACTCAGGCCCTCTCGGAAGGCCCAGGGCAGTCCCTGCTACATCCGCACTCACCTGCCAGGGCCAGGGGCCCATTGATGAACACGGCCACTTGGCAGTTTGGCCGCATGCCTGTAGGGACAACTGGAGCTGGGGCCTGGGCATCTGGGGGTGCAGTTATCAAACACGGGCAGGCTGGGGTCCTGGACTCAGTGAGGAAAAGGGGGTACTGCTGCATACAGGGTATGGGTGGCTTTGGACCTCTGGAGGGACCTGGGAGGAGAGAGAGGGTGGGAGTAGCTGGGGGCGGGGATACTGACCACTGATGACACCAGGGTCCCCAGGCAGTCCTGTGGCCAAGTGGATGTGTGTCCTTCCGCGGCAGGACAGGCCCTTGAGCCGGATGGAGGGCCAGTGCTGCCAGAATGTGCCATGGACCAGCATCGGGGGCAGGTCCCGCGGGGTCTCCAGGGGCATCAGCTCCAACTCAGGTACCTGGCACGGGTGGGGGGATGGACAGCAGTGAGACCCCCTCACAGGCAGGGGTCCCACCTGGCTCTCCCACTTGTCCCGTTAGCCCCACCTGCAGGGAGTGACCCTGATTGGCCCGGATGAGAGGGCCGGTGCTGGGGTCCCCTGGCTGCAGGGCGAACCGCTGCTTCCCATTGGTGTCCACCACACGCTGCACATCTTCCGCTGAGAAGCTGCGGAACTGGGGCAGCTGCAGGAGGGCGCCCAGGGGCACGAAGCCGCCTGCAGGCAGATGGGGAGCTCAGGAGTCGAACTTGCTCGGGCCTGAGCCAGAGCTAACAGGGGAGACACACACAACCAGAGCAGAGCCTGGGCTTGGGGATCACAAGGGTTCAAGGGAATAGCATCTGCCTCATAGAGGGTCACAAAGACAAAGTGACCCTGTCCTGGCTGCTGTGGCTCAGTGGATAGAGCGCCGGCCTGCGGACTGAAGGGTCCTGGGTTCAATTCCAGTCAAGGCACATGCTTGGGTTGTGGGCTCGATCCCCAGTGCGGGATGTGCAGGAGGCAGCCAATCCATGATTCTCTCTCATCACTGATGTTTCTATCTCTCTCTCCCTCTCCCTTCCTCTCTGAAATCAATAAAAATATTTATTTTTAAAGACAAAGTGACTCCTTTAGCACAGTACTTGACTCAAAGTGGTACTCAATAAGCCTCACTTGCCCCGCCATCCCCCCACCCTGTGCCCACCTCTGGGATGTTTTTGGGTCGCAGGCCTGGCCGAAGAGAGGCTCCTCTCCGTTTGCCCCAGAAATGATATTGGGCTCTGGGTCTTCCCCGTAAATGGAGGGGTGCGGCCCGTGTGTCCTATGGGGCTGTGGAGGGAGCCCTGGGGGGAGAGCAGTCACAGGCAGGCTGGCCCTGCTCCCTGCGCTGGAGCCCTCTCTACCACAGCCTCCAAGACCCTCACTTACCGGCCCCCATGGGCAGCCCCAGCTTCAGGGCCCCGTGGCGCAGGGCATAGGACAGAGCCTTGGACAGCTGCACGTCTCGGTCCTGTAAGAGTTCAGAGGTGGCTCCAGGTCCCCGTGGCGAGCCTGTCCTGCTGCCCACCCGGAACTCTGAGTGCCCTGCCCCGGGGGAGACCAGAGGGAGAGGAGTCCCCGTGCTCTCCAGAGAACAGTATGCCCCCGGCCCCCAGACCCCCCCACCGGCATTTCCCAGGGAGCCAGGGCTCGGATCCCTCACCGCCCCCTTCCTCCGGGCATGGGGAGTGAGGGTGGCAGGGGCGCACCTGTTCCCGGGGTCTGCCAGCCCTTCTGCCTCTGGGCCCTGCTGCTTCCAGCTTCCTCTCTCCAGAGTTCATGGCCAAAACCTGGGGGCGCAGTGGCAAGTGGGGACTCTTAAGGACCTCGCATGACTCCAACTCGCCCGGAAAGCCACAGCCTCGGGACGGGAGAGCTGGGACGGGGCATATTCAGCGCATTGATTCCCGTCCCACCCCAACCCCTGGTGCAGACAGGACACCGAGGCCCAGCAGGCAAGACCTGCCCAGGTCACACTGTCAGCCACGGGGCCCAGGTGAGCCGAGCCCCGCGCTCCGGGCTCGCGGGTCAGGCTCGGGCCCGGGGAGGCGGGGCCGGCGTCCGGGATCCCGGATCCCGGATCCCGGGGCGGAAGATGCGGGAGGGCCAGACGGACGAGCGAGCTCACCGACTCCCCAGGCGGAGCGGCCGCCTCCGCGGCTTTCGAGCTCGAAGCTGGCCAATGAGAAGCCAGGGCAGGAGGGGCGGGCACTTCCGCTCGGGGAAAGGGGCGGGGACTGCGGGCCGAAGTGGCGGTGAGTTCCCGCTGGAGGCTGGAGCTTCTGCACCCTGGGAGGGGTCCCTGACCCCTGGGCTTGGGAGACGTGGGCATTAGGGGGGACTGGACCCAGGGCCTCGGGTGGTAGGGGTGCCCGGGAGTCCCTGGGACGTCTGGCAGCTGGAGTCTCGGGTGCCTGCTGGATGATAAGACACTTTACTGCCCAGGGGGGTGCAAACTGTGACTTTACCCAGAGCTGCCCTGTCCAGACCATGGACCCCGAGGTGTCTCTGCTGCTGCAGTGCCCCCCGGGCGGGCTGCCCGAGGATCAAGTTCGGGCTGAGCTGAGCCCGGCCTACGACCGTCGCCCACTGCCAGGAGGGGACAGAGCCATCGCTGCTGCCTGGGCGAGCCGGCTCCAGGCCCAGCCCTGGCTGTTTGATGCTCCCAAGTTCCGCCTGCACTCTGCGTCCCTGGCGCCCGCTGGCTCGCAGGGGCCACAGCTGCTCCTGCACCTGGGCCTGACTTCCTACCGAGACTTCCTGGGCACCAACTGGGCCAGCTCAGCTGCCTGGCTGCGGCAGCAGGGGGCTGCCGACTGGGGTAACAAGCAAGCCTACCTGGCAGACCCCCTGGGGGTGGGTGCCATCCTGGCCACCGCCGATGACTTTCTCGTCTTCCTGCGCCGCTCTCAGCGGGTGGCTGAAGCCCCTGGGCTGGTGGACGTGCCCGGTGGGCACCCTGAGCCTCAGGTGAGACGCTATGGCGGCTGGGTGCAAAGGCACCGAGACCCAGACAGCTCAGCGTTGTTTCCTCATCCCTCAGAGGAGGAGTTGGCCTGTACTTGTGAAGGTTCTCTACTCAGGCCACCCTTCAGCCTCCTCACGGACCCTTCCCCAGATCTGTGAGGAGCGAGAGGATGGGGGCTAGGACCCAGCAGGACTCTGGTTGCCCACCTGGAAAAGGAGGGCTGGGTGAGGGGCCACCAGCACTCTTACGCTGCACACAGACAGGCCCTCGGGGCCGGGAGTGTCGGGGGAGGCAGGGCTGGAAGACGTGGGGGCAGGAGCTGAGCCTCATCTCTCCCAGGCCCTGTGCCCTGGCGACAGCCTCCTGCACAAGGACCTCCCGGGGGAGCTGGTGGTGCGTGAGCTCTTCTCCAGTGTCCTCCAGGAGATAAGTGATGAGGTGAGTGAGGGTGGCCAGGACGGGGTGGGGGGCTGGGAGGGAGGTGGTAGAACATGCCAGAATCAACCTGGGTCTGGGCTGGTGGGAGGGTCTGCAGGCATGAGACGTTGAGGGAGGAACTTGGCTCTGCAGTTGGGCGCGCTGGAGTGGAATCCTAGCCCTCATTTCTGTGTCCCTCAAGTTCTTTCTCTTTACCATGGGAACACGATAAAGGTCTTGCCCACGCCACCCAGGTTTGCTGAAAAGAGAAGTAACTGGAAGCTGATTGATCGGTTTTCCTTGGGGACTCTGGGCAAATTATTTAATCTCTGGTCTGGTTTTCCCATCTGTAAAATGCTACACGAGGGTAATGCATGCGTGTCTCCACGGAGAGGGGCAGGGCTGTGGGCAGCGAGCACTGACAGGTGGGACCCTGGCCCCAGGTGAACCTGCCACTGCTCACCCTGAGCCAACCGCTGTTACTGGGCATCGCACGCAATGAGACCAGTGCGGGCCGTGCAAGTGCCGAGTTCTACGTCCAGTGAGTGAGCTCTGGGGGACAGGGTCCTGGGTCCTGGGGTAGGTGGTGTGGGTTGAGGGGCATGGCTGAGGCAGCTGGGGCTCCACAGGGACCCCCCTGGGACTGGGCACCCAGCAGGCCATGCCCATGTCTTACCCAGGTGCAGCCTGACTTTTGAGCAGGTGGAGGAAGCACTACCCGAGTGGGGGGGCCGGAGGCCCCCGAGTCCACAGGCATTATCTTTGTGGAGACACAGGTGCGAGGTGGCAACGTCTGGCTTGGCCTAGGAGCTGGGGTTGGGACTTGCAGAGGCCTGGGGATGCATGTCTGTGGGGGCAGGGGGAGGTCAGACGGGGCTCCCAAATCTCTCAGAGCTTTTCTCCAGAGCCACAGGCCTCGTGGGGATGCCCGAAGCCCATGGGAGGGGGCCAGGGACCTGTTCGGCCTCTTCACATGTCTCAATGGGGGCTGTACGGTGCAGAGGGCTCTGAGGCTCAGGGACTCTGGGCACAGCTCCTGCAAGAGCCCTGACAGCTAGACGTCTGCATCTGTCTCCCCGCAGAGGGTGAGGAGGCTGCAGGAGACTGAAATGTGGGCCGAGCTCTGCCCCTCCGCCAAAGGCGCCATCTTCCTCTACAACAGGAGCCAGGGGCGCCCCACCTGAGTCGCCCTCGGGTCCGCAGCCCTACCCCCACAGCTAGCTCCAAGGACAATAAAGGACTTTATTCTTGGATTCCGTTGACATATGCTGTTTCCACGAGGCGGAGAGGGGCCGCTCGGGGAGCCTGGGTGGGTGAGAGACAGGACAAGTGACGTGGAAAAAAGAAAGCCCAGCCTCAGTTCTGCCTTCTGCCAGCTGGGTTGAGGGCCGAGGGTCCGGGTCGACTATGGGGTGGAAACTGCTCTGTGAAAAGTGTTCCCCTGCAAAGCGGCATGACAGCCATGTTCGTGCGACGGCAGCTGGGCCGAGAGCCTCCCTGAGTGTCAGCTCGATGCTGCCCGCTTCCGGGTCGATGCCCGCACCTCTCAGAGCGTCCCAGGCTCCGCCCTCCGGGGGCGGGCCTGAGGCGTCACAGGCCAATGGGTTACGGGGGCAGGGCCCCATCGCTCTTCCGGCGTGGTGGGCGTGGCCTGGGCGTCTAAGCCAATGAGGGCGTGGGGTGGGGCCTAAGTCGGCGCAGAAAATGGCGGCGGCCGTGAGTACAGCGGAGGCGGGGCTCGGCGTGGCTCCTCCTTCGCCCGCCCCCCAGGCTCCCGGGTTGGGCAGGGGGGTCTCCGAGCTCGCGGCTGGCTGTCCTGACGTCGAGGCCAGTGTGGGGAAGGGCCGGGTTCTGGGCAGGACAGGTCCGGGGCGCTGGGGTCTGGGCTGGGGCAAGGAGGCCTCACCTGCGCCTGGGTCCTCCGGGCCTGCTCCAGCTTTCCTTCGCCGGTGATGGGGGCCGGGCCCCGTCCCCCCGCCCCCGGGGTGCTCGCAGTCTGGTCCCCATGCACTCTCCTTGTGGCCTCCTTCCATCAGCTGTCCTCCCGCCGCCATGCTGCCCCTGCTGCCCCCGTGCCTTTGTCGGCTGTGGCCCCGCAGCCCTCCCACCCGGCTGTTCGCAGAGGCCGCCCGGCAGCGGTGAGTCGGTCGCCGGGGGCCGGTGCCTTCCCGAGGTTCCGGGGGTGTTTGTTGAGGCCCCAGGTGCTGAGATCGTTAGGATCGTCAGGTGCCTCCCAGCCTCGTCTCGGGGACCCGCACCTTCCCTGCCGTGGGCACCACTGAGGATTAGAATCAGCGGTTCTCAACCTGTGGGTCGCGACCCCTTTGGCGGTCGAACGACCCTTTCACAGGGGTCGCCTAAGACCATCCTGCATATCAGATATTTACATTATGATTCATAACAGTAGCAACATTACAGTTACGAAGTAGCAACGAAAATAATTTTATGGTTGGGTCACAACATGAGGAACTGTATTTAAAGGGCCAGAAGGTTGAGAACCATCATTAGATGAAGGGACGACCGCCCAGGTGGTTCAGGGAGAGTTATGCGGCAGATGTGGCATTTGGGCCCAAGCCAAACCCAATGCTCTTTCCACAACCCCTGTGGGTGTGGAGCATCGCTGATTCCAACCCGCGGGGGAGTGGGTTTTTGGAAACAAAAAATGCAGATTCCTGGGTCCTGCTCTGGAACCTTTTTTTAAACAAGCATTTCGGGAGTTTCTGACACAAGGAGCCTGAGGACCACATGTTGAGGCGCCTCTGGTCTGATCTGCACCATCCCCCAAACACTCGACAGGAGGGGTTGTTTGGAGATAGGTCTCCCCTCTCCGGCCAGACCACCCTGATCGAGCCTGATCTTGGAAGCTAAGCAGGGTTGGGCCTGGTTAGTACTCGGGTGGGAGATGGGTCCCCCTCGGCACCTGCTTCAGCCCCTCAGCTCCTGGTTGCTGAGTTGAAGGGTGTGCCCTGCGGGGCTGGGACGGGTACGGAAGAGGTATCTTCTGTGTTGCCTTAGCCCCTACAGGTTGTGGCCTCTCTCCACAGGTCTGGTCCCAGGAACTACTATGAGCTGCTGGGGGTACATCCTGGTGCCAGCACCGAAGAAGTTAAACGCGCTTTCTTCTCCAAGTCCAAAGAGGTACCAGTGGTCCGAGGCAGGGAGGTGGGAGGGGAATTCTGAGCCAGATGGGGCACACTTCACATTCTCAGGAATGGAGCTGAGGGGCTCGCTCTGGCTGGCACCACCTTCCCTCAGCGTGCACAGGGAGGGGAGGGTGTGAGGAAAGCCAGGGGTCCTGTCTGATGAGCTGGGCTTGTTTTTCTTGACCTGCCTGCTCCTGCAAAAACCTGGGCCAGGGCATCTAGTGCGAAGTAGGCAGCAGGTGGGGAGGGAGGCGGAGTGCTTCCTGACCCGGGCTTTCTGGTGGGGTGGCCAGCCTGAGGGCCTGAGAGGTAAGGTCACTGTCCAGACAGGGCCTCTGGGAATGATTTGAGCCCTTGTGGGTGGATGTTATCGAGATGGGTCCTGGGGAGGAGCATGGGAAGGGAGATGAGGGGAGTCCTGCTTCACCTCAGCTGCACCCTGACCGGGACCCCGGGAACCCAGCCCTGCACAGCCGCTTTGTGGAGCTGAGTGAAGCATACCAAGTACTCAGCCGGGAGCAGAGCCGCCGGAACTACGACCAACAGCTCCGCTCAGCAACTCCCCCAAAGCCTCCAGGAGCCGCCGCCCCTCCCAGGTCTGCTCATCAGGCACATAGGTACAATATTTTGCAATTCGCTTCTCCTCCTCCAAATCTCCTGGGGAGCCTCTTTCCCACACTGTCTCTTTTTCTCCTTCCCAGCAGCTCCTGGGAACCCCCCAACGCACAATACTGGGCCCAGTTTCACGGTGTGAGGCCTCAGAGACCAGAGTCGAGGCGGCAGCAGTATAGACACAACCAGCGGGTGCTGGGGTACTGCCTCCTGATCATGCTGGCAGGCATGGGCCTGCACTATGTTGCCTTCAGGTGCTCGCGCCTTTCCCGGAGGGGCGGGCAGAGGGTCAGCCACCCACACCTCTCTTGTGTCTCTCAAGCTAAGAACTGTATGAAGTAGGTCTCCGGAGCCTCTTTTTCCTTAGCAAAGGCAGCTCTTCACTAAGGGCTCACGTCATTTCAGTTTATTTTGTTTTTTATCATTTGCATGTAAATCTTTGGTGCCGACTACCAGGGAGTGGTGGAGCCAACCAAAATCATGCACAGGAAAGAAATGCACTGTGACTGCCTCACCAGCGCTCTCCTCACTTGTTTGGCAGTCAGCTGTCTCCCCGCCTCTCTCATGCCTGCCCTGACACAGGTTCTGCAGCACTGGTCACAGGCAGCGCCCACTGACAGCGGCCGAGCTCAGTGATGGCGTCAGACACACAGCCCTTTCCAAGCTCTTGGAGGACCACCCTGACGTTCAGTGCTGCGGTCACCACATTCGGCCGATAGCCAGGGACCTGGGTCGCCACTGGACCCTGGACAAGCCTGGCTACTCTGTACTGCTCTCCTCACCTAGCACAGGCAGTTAGGCTGAGGTTCCCACAGATAGAAAGCACTGACACCCTAGAGTGGGGGACAGGAGGGTTTGGGGGACCCAGAGTTCATTGTAACCCCCTTGCAGGAAGCTGGAGCAGATGCACCGTAGCTTCATGGATGAAAAGGATCGGATCATCACAACCATCTACAATGACACTCGGGCCAGAGCCAGGTCTGTCCCTGCTCTACCCTGCCCTCGCTTCACTGTCCTGGACCACCCTCTAGGATCCCTGTGCCAACCGCCCTGCTGCTCTCTCCTGCAGGGCCAACAGAGCCAGGCTCCGGCAGCAGCACCAGCAGAGGCAGCAGCTGCAGCCACCACCCGAGCCTCCCCCAGGCCCAGGAATCATGCCCCCCTGAGCCTCTCACCCGGACGGAGCCTGCTGTGTGTTCCCTCTCGGGACTCCCCCCGACCCAAAACGCGTGCAATAAAGTGATTCTCAGCCTTCCCGTCCGGCTCCCTCCTTAAGGCCCCGCACCCCCAACCCCGGCCACTCCTTGGGACCACGCCCGCCCTCCGAGCCCGGCCCCCTGGGCGGTGCGTCCCCTTTCCCCTGCTGCAGCGGGAGGGGGTGTGTGGAGGGGGCGGGCCTGCGGGCGGCCTCGCCCCTTCCGCCCCCGCCCCGCCCCTGCCCGCGGCCGGGTGGGGGAGCGCGTGGCTGGGTCACATGAGCTGTCCGCCCACAAGCCAGCAGATCTGCTTCCCCCCGTCTAACTCACTGGAAATAGACAGGCCGCTCTCCCTCGAGAAGCCGGTGGGGTTCTGTGCGTAGTCGCAT